AAAAAAAAAAAAAAGAAAGAAAATATGCTAAGGGGGAGGTTCCATTTGTAATAACAAAACCCCACAAACTGCAAAGAAATCCACCTAACAAGGAATGTGTGAGATACAGAAATGATGTCTTAGGCCTAAAACAACAGTGATGATGTATTTGACATACTAGATAATCAAACATAAAATGGAGTAAAACCAGGTATAAGCAAATAAAGTGGGAAAGAAAGTATTTCTGTGACTTTTACAAGAATGTGATTGTTTAATCAATCAGTGGGAAAAGAAGTTAGATAGATTGTTTAACATTACAGTTATGCCCACATTTTGGTAGAAGCTCTGGTAGATTAGTGGTTACAAATTGAGCTGCCAACCACAAGGTCAGCAGTTTGAAACTACCAGCTGTTCCACAGGAGAAAGATGAGACTTTTTGCTCCTGTAATGGTTTACAGCCTCAGAAACCCTGTACAGGGTCGCTATGAGTCAGAACCGACTCCATGGCACATAACCACCACCACCATATAGCTTTTTTAAACCTATGAATGAACATAACTAAATTCTAAAATATTTTTATTGAATGAGAAAATAAGATTGTAGAGCAAGTCTATTTCTTATGCAAAAAGTAATTCCCCAAGCTATAAACCAGCATCAGCAGGTTTGTAGAAAGATGTTAAATGCCATCAAATCAGTCCCAACTCATAGAGACCCTGTATAGTGTTTTCAAGTAGTGGCTGCCGAGCTGGGACCGCCAACCTTGAGGTTCAAACCAACCTTGCAGTTCAGCGCATTAACCCACAGCACCACACCAGGACTCCCCTTAAGCATCAAAGTCCAACAGTCCCGGTCAGCCATGAGGTGTCCCGCTGCGAGCAGGGCAAGGAGGGACACGGGCAGCGATAACCATTGCTGTGCTGTTCCTGCACCTGACACCTCACTGGCTGCGAGCAGGCTTTGCAGGGCCCTGGACAGTCTGTGGCCATCTCTCTGAGGGAATTGCATGCCCCTGATGCTAGCTGGCCTAGTCCATCACACTGTGAGTCCTCCTGGTACCACCCCATCAGGCGTGACCCCTGACAAGAAGACCAAGGCACCTGATTCGGACTCCTGATCCGTGTGTGTGTGTCAGCCTGAGGATCTGGAGTACCCTCCAGAAATCTTCCAGTTCCAGGACACTGTTGCATCTTCCAAGAGCAGGCATGTCGGTCCCTGCTGGCTACCTGGCCCAGGGTGGGTACCCCTCTACCTCTCACCACCCTCCCATAGATCCCACCCCCATTGGGCCAGGAAGTTATCTGGCAAGCCAGCAGAAGCTACCCCAGGGAGGGCTGAGGCAACAACTCCGGGCTAGGTCAGTCCACTCCCACCATTGTTACCCTACAATGGGGATTGCCACCTGTTGGCAGGTAAGAAGGATTAATTCCCTCACTGAAAAAGAGCTCTGGGCAAGGCACCAGGGTTGGAGGATGGTGACAAGATGACAGTCATTTTTTTCTGTATCCTCTATTTGAATTTTATTCATCAAGAATATGTTCATAAAATGAAATCAGGAAAACAATTCCATTTGTAATACCACCCAAAAGATGAACATTTAGGAATAAATCTAACCAGAGAAACAAAAGACCTACGCAAAGAAAACGACAAAACACTACTACAGAAAACCAACTGAGACCTACGAATGTGGAAGATTATACCACACTTGTGGATAGAAAGGCAACATTCTGAAAA